CGGTTTCGCGCATTTTCGTCAGAACCATCGACGAAATTTCTTCCGGGTAGAAAGATTTGCGCTCTCCTTTGAAGTCCACCTGAATCTTCGGTCGGCCTCCGTCGTTCTTCACTTGGAATGACCAATGTTTCATGTCGCCCTGAATGCTGGTGTCGTCATAACGTCGTCCGATGAGTCGTTTAGCGTCGAAGACTGTGTTCTCAGGGTTCATGGCGGCCTGGTTCTTGGCAGCATCACCGATGAGTCGTTCGGTGTCGGTGAAGGCAACATACGAAGGAGTTGTTCGGTTACCTTGTTCATTGGCGATGATCTCGACTTTCCCATGTTGGAATACACCAACACAAGAATAGGTGGTTCCTAGATCGATTCCGATCGCGGGTCCTTTCACCATTGTGGATGTTGAATGCACGAAAAGAGGTTCACAGAAAAACGATGGAGCGTCACGAGAACTGAGAATTCAATATCGAAGGCGCGCGCTTGTAGCGGGCTGTCACCTGAGTTTTCGTCTCGGTGTCTTTGGCTGAGAATGATGCTGAGCCATCGCCAGAGCTCCACTTATATAGCTTCAACAGCGCCATCTGGTGAGTACTGGACCGAACACGAAGGTTCTCGACATTTCGCGAGAGCTCGGGAGACGATATCTCGAAAGCTCAGGACGAGCGCATGGAATTTCAGCCCGGGCCCTATGCTCGAGTTCAAATTGCGCCGAGGTATAACAAAAGGAGGGAGTCTACAGCACATTCTTCGGCCCCGCTTCCATCTTTCGTGACTGTCTCCGTGACTCAAACAGATCCGGTAGCTTTCCAGCATTTCTGCTCTTTACAATGCTCCGTTCATCTGAGCTCGAAATGATCGGCAAGCCGTCGAAATGCACAAAATTTCCTCAATCCTGCTAGAATCAGACCCCCTCTCTCGGTCCGTGAGGGTCTAGACGTCCCGAAGTCAATGGAGCCACCATTCTGAGGATAGGATTAAGAGGGTTGAAGCTCTTTTCTTCCAGAGACTCACCAACATGCATGTAGGACACTAGAGAACACATTGAGCAGAATAATATAAAGATCCTTGCGGAACTCAATCCCGAGGAGCCCCGGAGGATCATCCACTGAATCATGCGGGAAATTCGAGATTTTAGCCGCCGTTCGAGGGTCCGAGATACCCGAGCGATGCTGCAGGGCTCGCTTGCTTGGAAGAGCAGGGCTGACGATCGATTTATTTCAGCGTGACGTGAGGGATCACGCCAGATGTGCACCAATGTGCCTAAGAGATACGCTCAAGCAACGGGAGGATTGGTACTGTCCACTAGACTCACTTCGGAAAATGATCGAGGCGCAAATCATTTATTATCCCAAGCTATCGTCTCTTCGGCTGCCTCATTCATACGCGACCTTCCTGGATGTCTTAGGAAAGTCGACATCCGCCTCATATATAATATTAGTGAGTATTCAGCGTTCAATCCTCTTCTGAAATGGGGCCGACTCACGCTTCATGCACAAAATACTCCTGCATCGTGATCGAACTCTCCATCGGCCCTTCCAAGTGGCGGAGCACAGACCCCAAGATAGCCCATTGATGAGAATGCCTTCACGTTTCAGGCGAGGTCTGCATCTTCTCTGCATCCCGTCGAATTCAGGGAATGAGTCTAGACTTCCTGTTCACGCTCGGAAGCAGAGACTCCATCGACTCTGAGCGGAGAATAGGCCCCGAATCCATCTCGTGAGTCATGGGCACGAAAGTCCGTCGTCATCCTTGTCTCGCCTTTGCCGGGAAATCATCCAGGAGTCACCGAATTTCCCCGGACCATCGTAGAGGTTCCATTCTAGAAATCGCGGATCATCACAGGCGGAGACGCCTCGGAGTCCCTTCCCATCTCATTTCGGATATCTGAAATTCGCCTTCCAAGTCGACATTGCTCCGCCTGTCCGATGGGAATCTTTCATGACCCTCCGTGCCTCCTGTCATGGCATTACTTAACAAGATTGTAATATCACACAGCCCGCGTCAGAAATATTCAAGATGGCCTCTGTGGAATGACGAAACGAATGATTATCGAGTGGAACTTGAGTCTTTTTATTATGAAGTAAACTCTGGGCATTGCCTGGAATTCAACATACAGTATGCGATGTCACACAGAAAATTAACTTATGTAGTGCTGAGTTATCACAGACCTCTATACTGACATCATGATTCATGATATACTGGACTATCTTCCACTAATAATACCTAATCTACTTCCTCCACCGTGGGACCTCCAGCTGACGGCATGGGTCCTGATCCTGATGCGCTTCCCTGGTAGATTTTGGAAACGATGGGTCGGCAGAATTGCTCCAGCTCCTTCTGCTTGTGCTCATACTCATCGGTCTCCGCTAGTTGGTTCGCGTCGAGCCATTGGAGAGTCTCCCGAATACGCTCGAGGACCGAGTTCTTCTCTGATTCGGGGACTTTGTCCTTGATCTTGTCGTAGTCCGTCTCGAAGGTTCCTTTCAGACTGAAGCAGTAAGCTTCGAGAGCATTCTTCGCCGCGATTTTCTTCTTCATCTTCTCGTCCTCATCGCGGTATTTTTCGGCTTCGTTGACCATGCGATCGATGTCTTCCTTCGAGAGTCTTCCTTTGTCGTTGTTGATGGTTATTTTGTTCTGCTTCCCGGAAGACTTGTCCTCGGCCGAAACGTTGAGGATTCCGTTCGCGTCGATATCGAATGTGACTTCGATTTGAGGAACACCTCTCGGAGCTGGAGCTAGTCCCGTCAGATCGAATACACCGAG